GTATAAGAAGCAGCCACTGATTGTCCGCGGCCCAGGTGCCGGAGCAGAAGTGACAGCAGCTGGAGTATTCAGCGATATACTGCGACTTGCATCGTATCTTGGTGCTCCATCATAGTGTTAGTCAACTTCGAAACTGGTATAGCAAATTTTGTCTCCCCGAGCTTTTAAATTTTCTTCTCTGTTACCCCTAAATGTGGTTGTAGTAGATACAAGGCTGGCTGAGATATGTCTGTTGGTTCATGCATAATCCTTTTGCTTAGCACTTCCGTGATTTGTTTTGTGCTCTTGGCACTGAGCACTATCGTAGTCGTTTGTAACGCTTTTTGTGACTCCTGCTATGTGTATCGCTCTAGTTAGAAGAGGTACAAGTTCCAGAAGGAAGCTATTTCGTAGCAAATTTCAAAGAGGATATTTCTTCATTCTGTTTTGTAATTGTATTTTCGTGGCAGGACTTTCAAATCAATCTTGTGGGAGGCTAAGGTTGAAAAAGTTGACCAAATTGGAGACAAGACATGGATACAGTCGAGGCTATTGCAGACTCAGCTGTACTTGGGCACGTACGGCACAGCCACATAATCCTCAGCAAATTTAACCATGAGAAATCAAGAACAGAACGAAGACAAATTTAATTACTTCGTACTACAAGATGTTAAGCCCAGAACAGGAAAGCATCATGCCGACGTACATTAATTTTCATCATGCGATTAGTAAATGACAATTCAAAGCCCCCATTCCAACGTTTTTTACATGCAAATTTAAAAGCAACAAATGCAACGACTTGTATTTATACAGCAAACATCAGATAACACCAGTTATCTGACCGTGAATTGAACAGAGAATAAAACCCTTTTTCAGGACAGCCGCTGTGCTACAGTTCTTTTTTAAGCATACTTATATACGAGTAGAACTTAAACTAATCTCTGACACGACAAATTTGCCTCAAGGGATATCCAAAGTAAAGTTGAACTTCTAAGATGAATCTAACTGATTTTGGGACCAAGATAATAGCTTTGATCTCTGAAAAACCTTGTAATCGTCTCAGCTTTCTCCGCAGAAAGATCAGTATATTCCAAAATGTACTCCTTTGATGCTTTTGCAATTGCTTCAATTGAACCAACAGCTTGATTTAGCTGCAGAGGATATTCGTCAACCTTTGTTACTATTTTGCAGATATAAGAATATAAATGTCTCTAAACATTAGAGCAGCAGACTTTGTGGTTCAAATTGGAACAAAGAAATATTGCCAAATTTCACACCGCAGTCTTCGGACAAGATGTGCAGTTTCATACTCCACGCGGCAGTAATGAATGACTAAATCATTTTATGTTGTTTGAAAAATTTCTTAATAATAGCATAAGAATAATTAAAGTTCTCCCACCAAAGGAAAAAAAAAAATCCAAAAGTAGAAGATAACTCAGCCCATGATTATTATATGACCAAGAACATGTAGAGAATTTACAGAAATATATTGCTCAACAAGAGGAATGGTTCCCATGCCTCGCTGGATGAGTCAAGTTCCGCCATAACCAGAGGTATGCTTAAGATAGTTGAGATGGTACAGCCATTATACATGTATGCAAATTTCTATATGCAAAAGAAATCATCTGGATCTTCAACTGCAGAAGGATTTAACAAATTGACTCTTCTCAACCCTACCCTTTTTGTCTCTTTCCACCAATACACAGGGAAGGGTAAGGCTGTAATAGAAGGAAAAATGAAAGCTAAGAATGTAATTGGTAGGAAGTTTTAGTACCGCATTTGCATCATGACTATCAATGCCTGGAATGGAGCTGACCACTCTGAGATACGCATCCATTGTTTGCACTGATCTTTCTCGCTGAAACCATGGAAAAAGGAATTGGCTACGCATCTAATGCAAAGAAGTGCACCAAGAAAACGGTAAGCTATATCTCCACTTACATCTGCTTTTAGTTTTGATATAGCATCTTGTCGCTTAGCAACTGCATTGAGAATTGCTAAAGTCAAAATAAACTAACCAATTACAAATTTATCAGCTGCATTAACTAAGAGTCTTACTCCCGCGAGCAAGTGCAATCTTCAAAATCTTCTCAAATCCCATCTCTATGTCCAGTACTGGCATAAATGTTGGCCTGCCAAACTCCATATCGGATCTTCAACAACATCCAAACAAATACCAAGTCCTTCATTTTGTACAGGGCCATTTTATGGCAAATGCAGTTCAGACGGCAAAAGGGAAGAAGCTCACTTGAAATAAGAGCGAACAAAAGAATCATTCTGCTCCTCTGTTGGTAGATTGACAACCACATACAAGTGAGCAAACTGTTCTTTCAATTTCTGAACTCTGTGTAAAACAAATGATACCTGTTTAGATACATTAACAGAAACTTTGAATAGAATTAGCAAAAGACTGACCTTGTAAACACCGATGCAGTCAAGTTAGAATCCCAGTTAGTCACAAAAATGAAAGCTATGGACAAACCTCCACAGTTGAAAATGAAATCCTGCAAGCTAGGCATTTCAGAAACTGCATGGAATCAACTCTAGAAATAAAAAATCAGACAAAATGGGTAATAACTGGAGCAATTGGCACAATGTTCAGACGGAAAGAATTTGCACTGAGGAAACATGAGATGAAGTTGATGAAGGATGGCTGTTGTTCATCTCGCCATGCTGTGCTCATCATACAAACTCCACTGCTACCTGCAGAACGTTGAAATCTAGACTAATCAACCACTCCAAGAACCTTAAAATTGGCGAAGTATGATTCAGGTGGCAGCCTCAAAAATCTAAATTCAGGCATTCTACTGTATCCCTTCTTTTAGTTTCAGTGTCAACCATCCAGGCACATTAAAGTTCCTACATTAGATTTACATAATTAACATTCTATAGCTACAGATCGTACAGGCCGCAAAGGATGATATATAGAAAAGGCATAGTTAGTATCTGAAAAAATGTACCAACTCATTCTTTTTGGTAAACTGATCGACTCTATACTCTATCCCTACAATAGTTATATACATAAATCCACATCAAATCCTTATTCTTTAGAGAGCAGTTTCTGGGGAAGCGACTTTCGTGAAATAAAAGAGGACTAATACTACAAGCAAGTTCCAAAAGCATGAGAAGTGTAATGCAGCATAGAGGTATCTAGATAGAATGGTCTTTCAGATTTTCTTTAACCTGGTATGCTTTAGAGAAGAACTTTTCATCAATAAATCATACATATGGTAACCAAGTCTTATTAAGGGCCAGATACATTCTTCTTGCTGAAAGAAGACAATTTAGGAGTAACCTTTTAAGAAAAAAAGAAAAAGATTAGTGCAGTGACTTAAATCCTGAAAAGTCTTTAAGTAATTAGGGATATAAAACCGGCTGTGTTCATTAAGGCACTGTGACTTAGGGATATAAAACCGGCTGTGTTCATTAAGGCACTGTGACTTAGGGATATAAAACCGGCTGTATCTGACCCTAAGAGGCTTTTAAGCATTCTTCTTACTGTGTTCATTAATGACACTGTGACTGTATAAAGCAACAAATATAAAAACCAGCTGGATAACTCGTGGAGGCTTTTAAGCATGTCAATCAAGTGCATAATGCATCAACACAAGCAAAAATCATTAACAACAGTACAAAGTCAATGTCAATTCAACAGCAGACAATATAAATCAAGGAATAAATGTGTTGACGATTGATTACCAAGTTTCACTATTAGCTGGAAAGAAAACAGCCACCTAAAAACAATCACTAGGATTTAGGACTTGGAGAAGATACAGCACAAAACTTTCTAATTGACATAAAAGCTAAACACAGATCTTGATTGGCAATGATTCCTTTTCCCAAAAAAGGCAGCAAAATCTCAATTGTCCAAGTGCCAAGTAAATAAACTACTCCAATTGTAGTTGTACTATGTTTTAAACGTTCTCAACATTTTACAAATTAAGAGATGCTCGATGAGCAGAACAGAATAACCTTAGCTGAAATGCAACTTAGTCAAAAATAAATGTCGAAGTCAAAAGAATATCCTGGTCAAATAGTATTGGGAATCACAAACAGAATTTAATATTATGAAACATAAGCAGAAGTCTCCTTAGAAGTCTGCTGCACCAATTTAATCCAAATCTATTCTTTAGCCAAATGATCACATCAAATTATACATCATAGTCACCAGTTTCAATTTTCTAAGACGAAATAGCAATTCAAGTACATTAGGAATAAAATTTTAAATAAAAAACATATACGGGAATATATGTCGGCATATTGAAATTTTCTTTTGCCAGTACATAAACTGAAAAATGGAAGGAAATGAAAAAGGTCAGGTACATGAAATAATAAACTTCAAATCTGAAAACTTACAAAAAGAAGAACCAAATCTCGCCTTTTTTGTTTTTATCGATCTAACAATATAAATAATTACACAAATGTCAGCTGAATTGGATTTCTAAGTATATAGTAGAGAAAACTAATTAAATTAACCTAGATAATAACATACACTACAAACAATAATAATGCGAGAAATTGAAGAGAAAAACAAAAAACAAACATAAAAATCGCATAACACGAAAGCGCGAAGGAAGAACCTGAATTGGACAAGGCGATCGAAGAATTAGAAAGTGACGCAGTTGATTCTCCTCTATACCGTCCAACTCCGGCTTGCCTCTTCATCATCATCGTCTTCTAGGCTAGCGTTTATCTGACAGTGCGAGTTCTCTCCTTCCCTCCTCAACTCCTTTTTCAAATTTCGTATTTATAGCCGCGAGAAATGGAACAAAAAAAAAAGAAAAAGAAAAAAGCACGGTGATTTATCCCGGGGAATTTTTTTTTTTTTTTTAAAAAGCAGTAGACCGGCTAATACGCCGTCGGTTGAAATCAAAGTGGAATGACACGACGCCGTTTCGGCGAAATGAAAGTTGAAAGCGGTTTGACACGCGGACCCTGAATCGGGTAACACCAAAAAAAAAACGGGTCTTTTGCGTATTATTTTTCGCCAAATAAATAAATAAATAATAAAAAACCGTACTGTAAGTCTGTAACTGAAACGAGAGTGACACTGAGACTGAGACCGAGGAGGAGAAAGATGGATAGGGGTCGCCTAAATTCCAGCAAGTCTCAGGCACAAAACAATAACAATCCTAACAAATGCCTATGGTTCGACCGGCGCTACGGTCTTGTGTAAGTCGTCGGCGATGACTCTTGACTCATCTATATTTTCTGGAGTACTTATTAGTACTAGAACTAGGTCTAGGACTTTACCCTTTTACTTTTGATTCATTTTGTATGTGTTTGTTTGATTGGATATGAATCATAATGTATGGGGTTCCTGTAAAATGCTTGTTTCAGGTATGATGTTTGGAAAGATCCACAGGAAGAAGCTTTATCGGGTGCCCGTGGAATGTTCTGCATCCTGCCTCTCACTCAAACCTTCATAAATTCTGCTTCTCATGCGGTACATGACAGATAAATTACTAGCCCACGTATCTTTTTACACATTTGTTCTGAATTTATAGTTATATTGTTATAAACTCATCTGGGTTTTTCTTCATTATTAGTAATTCATGGCTTTTTTTTTTTTTTTGAAAGGGGGGGGGGGGGCCGCCGGAAGGGGAAGGGGTTATATGTATGTTTTTGATAGTTTGTTGAGAAATTGTATTGTAAATGGTGGTGCACCTAATTAGCATTGTACTAACATTCGTTATTCAGCTTAACATTTATTTTTTGGTAATTGCAGTTGGTATACTTTCTTCATTTTCTACTGCATGACATAGCTGTATTTGTAGAGATATTGAACACTCTTATTCACGTTTTAAACAAAAAATCTTTGGAAGTCGGCTCCTTTGAAATCGTCTTTTATGTGTGGCATGTTATCTTGTTTTAACAAATGTGCCTAGCTATTTTAATTTGACTGACTATTGCATGTTAAATGAAGTAGCAATTTTTGAGCCTTTACTTCACAACCTATACCTAATGATTGACATGTTAAATTCATGCTGGAATGGATGATTACACCAAACAAATCTAATTTTAAGTGACAGCCTTAGCTGTATGGATTGAAAGAAAACTGATAATATGATTTTCTTACATATCTTGGATTAGAAGTAGAAAAAGGGGATTTTCTACCAGCACTTGGTTTTGAAGTTATGCTTAATTTCTTTTAGACTAGCCGTGGATGCTAGAATCAGCAATTGAATATAAAACTATAGGTTCTTGATAGGGGAGCCTCCCTAATGTAAGAGAAATTAGACTTCATAGCATGTTTTCAGTAAGGACGATTTCGTTTGTAGGAACACCCCATGGCTACTTCTCAACTAACTGTGAAAGTATAACTTGTACATCCAGCATGTTCAGGCGTTGAGATTCATTTATGTCACAGCAATCATGAACATGGTTACTTGCCTATGCCTTTGTAGCGGCTTAGGTTTGAACTACTCTGACATTGTTTTTCCATTTAATTTTCTCCTTGAGGTATGACATTTCATTTTGGTACATTTTTGTGCTGCATTTTACAGACATGGTAACCTCTGTGACACAGAATTGGCATTACAGTTTGCTTTGGGCTTCATCTTGAGTCTTGCTAGTAGTTTTCTTTGTGCTTTCTTAGTTATTATACATCATTAGATTTATGATTGGTTTAGAGTGTCAAGCTGATAATTGTTTTCTTGATGCTTTGCTGAACCTGCTTTCTCTAGTGTTGTTCAAGTCTGGGAAGTATGAATTACTTGGCTTCTGTTAATGGACCTTTTTTGTTGATGTCTGTGATGATTTAAATCGTTAGAGTGATAAGTCTGCACCAATATAGTTGCTCATTGGGATATTTCTGATCTCTTGCAGATCAACCTCACTGCAACATCCGCTCTGCAACTTCTTGAGAAGCCAGACCTATTTACACCTGAAGCTCTGAAGTTAAAACTGAATGGTCAAGTGCAAAGAATTATATCTTGTATGAAGAAACCACAGTTTGATTTGCCTATACTAAGGAGAAGTTCGACATTTTCATCTAATCCACAAGGAGAAAGAAATGAATTGCATAATGCATAGCAGTCATGAGGACACTGACATTTGCTTTTGTACTCTAATATATTGTGTCTTCAAAGTATCAAAATTTGTTACAACTGACCACCACATGGTGCATTAGCTCATCCATTTGCATTTTGGTTGGTTGCAGCAAAGCCCTATGCGATTTTAGAAGTTTCATCATGGATCGAAAGCGATGACTTGAGAATCCAGTAAAGTTCTACAGTCAGAATATTAGTTCATGAGTGATAAATGTTTCTGTTTTCTGATATAAGTTTTCCGACTGGAATAGCAGTTATTAGTAATGAAACGCAGTCTTGAGATAGAATCTTGTTTGATTGTTGTATGAGACGTCTGATTTTCATCCCTCCACTTTTAACATGATTATGTTTTCTCCATATTGACTTGAAGTAGATCAAATCTTACTAATTCTTCTCCTGCCATTTTCTCAAGGACTCAAAATTATACAATATACTACTATCAATGATGATTTATTTGGATGATATTAATGTTAATTTGCTGTACAGTTCTGCAAGGAGGTGCCTACGCATGGATTGAGGAGCTTCATTGTTCTTGCGTCCATCTTCAGCAGTACTTTTTAAAATCAGTTGTGTCCGGTAGCCTTGTTTGAACAGCAATTTTCCAAAGAAAACTTGCTAAGATTTTTGTGAATATATTTTTTAATTATTTTTTTATCTCACATATATCAAATTATTACAATAATTTTTTTAAAAAAAATTCAGAAAAATGCAATCCAAACGGGCCTAATTGCAACTCTAGTTTGATTGTTAATGTCGTCATTCATATACCAAGTAACACAATCTGAAAATATAATTTTGGATGGTGTTTGTAGCAAGACTTTTACGTTTACCTGATTAATTGAAATTTGTATGCAACAAGAGTTTTTGTGGGATACGAATCCTCCCCATTTAGCAAAAGTTCGGACAGTTTATTCACCAAAGCTGTACCGTTCTCGAATGTTTCTATGCAGAGCAAAGCAAGAACCTGAAAACTGCTACAATACAAAAGAATGGGGAGAAGATTTCTTAGAAGCTAAAAGATCAACAAAAGAAGTACTAGGCGTACGTGCTGCAATAATGGACACACACTTTCATGTGTCTTCAAACTTCATTTATCAAAGGGAAAAAAAAAACACCTTTCGACAATATTCCCCAATTAAATGGTTTGAACATATAATGAATTAAAAAACACAGTACATCCTGCAGAATCTTTCGAATCCTCATGGCCTAAAATTAACATCTTCCTAGCCTCCAATCAGTGACCAGAACAAGGAAAAAGGAGCTAAAAGCTCTGTTCAGCTCCCTTTCTTCCCTCTTTATCCTTCAATTTCTGAACAAAATTAAAATGCCCACCATTTCTAGATCACCACAATTACCACCACCACCACCAACTCCACTCTGCCTTACCCTCTCCTCACCCCTGCAGCAAAGACCCAGTTTTAATTTTTCCCTGTCAAACCCTTCTTCATCATCATCTTTTTCTTCTTCTTCCTCATTATTTCACTTTAAATTCAGACCAAAAAAGTCCCATTTCTTGAAGCCATGTTCTTCATTGAGGGAAACCAAGAAACAGCAGGAGCAACAAATGCTTGTTCCAAAGACTGCCCCACCTCCTCAGGGACTGAGGAGACTCTTGAATTTGAGCCCAAAAGAGGATAATACCGATGATGGGGCTGATGATGGGGCAGTAGAGAGTGGTGGTGACGCTGCTGTTAAAGGCAGCATCTTGGCTGGTCTTTTGTTGGTTGGTGTCGTTGGAGGATTTGGAACAGTTGGGTATCTTTACAAGGACCAGATTAATGCTTTCTTGAATCAGTTTTCCGGGTTCATTGACGGTAATGTTTGATTAATTTTCACTGCCCATTGAACTTAATTTTATGTTTGTTTTAGAATTTTGATCCAATTCTTTAGTTTCTTGCAAGAATTACGTTTGCTGCTTCTAATTGGCTAGTAATTTTTGCTAAAATAATGTTCGATTCTAGTGGTTCATTAATTGATTTTGTAATTTAGTCTATGCTTAGTGAAACTTTGTCTGAAAAGATGAGATTTTTCAGCATAACTCAATAGTTTGAGCATTTAGATGAGTTATGTGCAGCATTTTAAATTTACTCTTTGGTGCACCTTTATTGCATTTTTATTATTAGTTTAAGCTATGGGATTGGATGTCTTTGACACTATCTTTTCTGTGGTCACATTTTAGTACCTATTACTCGAAATTAATGTCCACGACACTTTTACACTTTTTCAGACCTTTTCAGCCCCGGATTTTTCTACGAATTTTCTCTGGTTTACTAGACAAAGTTAACAGTTGTATGATATGCTGAGTATCATGTTGACAATTTACCTTTACTCAAAGTTCAGTACTAAGTTTTATAGCTGGCATTAGCATAATAATGGAGCTGCCATTAGCATAATATAATTTGCTTAGTATAATTTGGTGACACTGAGATTCTACCTTAAGTTCTTAGGAATGTTTCCCTTCATTGCGGGTATAAGGGCTATTACTAGCTCTTATTCCATCCTTTGTAACCTAGCTGAGAATTTCATTTCCCTTGGTCATCCTCATAATTATAATTTGTCCTAGTTCTTATCTTGCTACCATGTGAAAACCTGAATTGACTGTACTAAGCAGACTGATAATAGAATGGTATACATCAGGATTTGTTGTGCTTGTCATTAATACTTTGTTTATTACTATCTTTGCAAAAGGTTTTTCTTCTTTGACTGAGAGACCTAGAAGAATAATAGTCCTTTGGGTTATCTCATACCAGTGAAGCAGGTGAACTCTTTAATCAGAGGATTCAAGAAAGAGACCAGTTTGGCTAATTTGGGTTGAGATTTAGATTAATAGTAGACTATTGATTATATGTTGCATATGTATATATCGGCTCTAATTGTATAGTACTTGCAACTTCCTTTTGGGTGTTATGTTTTGTTTGCTGCAGTAATTCCTCAACTCTTGGAAGGTAGTTAAAGTTTGACCAGGAAGATTAATAGCTTCTGTAGTTGTTTTCTCTGCACGAAATAGTAAATTACTTTTGTTTGGTCCCTTGAACTCCTTTAACTTTTCTATTCTGAGCAGGTTATGGGCCAGCTGGATATGCACTTTTTGTATTGGTCTATGCTGGTTTGGAAGTAAGTTTGACTTCTCTTTCTTGAGTTCATTGACTTAACCCAAAGCTATCTATGCTAATGACTGGTTTATATTTCCTTTTTTTTCCATGGATTATGGAGTTCTATCACTTATATGGCTGTTCTTTGTGAGAAAATTATTTATTCCACCTTAGAGAGGATACGGAGTTCAGAATATGCTGCTTTTTATTAGTTGCTGAATCTTTTGCATTTGGTGTATAAATTTTTGCGATTTCAAAGGAATTTCTTTTCAATGCTGATAGCTGCAGTAGTTAACCTTGAAGCAATTTACTTTGCTTTTGCATATGATAATGGAATCTAAGAAAATGATTTGGCTAAGATTTCTTTTTGTGTTATTGTGGTAGGACAGGCAAAAATTCCTAGAACAAGGCCACATTGGGATTTAGCTATTGGGATGGGTTTACCTTTTTTATGTTTTAGTAACTAAGTTTCTTTGCTTTGCATATAATATAGCGCTTCTCTGATGTAATTAAGTCTGCTGACCTTTGTACAGACTGACTTTGTTCATTAATTGAAAGTTAACATATGCTCAGCCAAAAAAAAAAGTTTTCTTTTCTTGATGGCAATATTGATCATTCTCTATGTTTAACTCTGCATTTACCAGAGTGCTTCGGATGCAATTATCTCTAGAGTAGATTAGTCATTAAGACTCATTAGTCATTCCATACTGATTACAGATGTTTATGCTCATGGCAGGTCCTTGCAATACCCGCTATTCCGTTGACTATGTCAGCTGGTCTGCTATTCGGCTCTCTGATTGGGACAATCATTGTCTCTATAAGCGGAACGGTAAGCTGATTTTTGCATCGAAAGAGTAAAAACAAGTCTTCAAAATTAAAGTGTATTTTCCTCACTCTTTTAGGTGGCAGCAAGTGTTGCCTTCCTAATTGCGAGATATTTTGCTCGTGAACGCATTCTTAAGCTGGTTGAAGGGAACAAGAAATTTCTTGCAATTGACAAAGCAATTGGGGAAAATGGTTTCAAAGTTGTCACTCTTCTCCGTTTGAGCCCTTTATTACCATTTTCTCTTGGGAATTATCTCTACGGACTTACTTCTGTCAAATTTGTGCCTTACGTATTGGGAAGGTGAGATTTGTTTATTCTTTTGATAATTTGGGAAGGTGAGATATAGATGTATAAATTTATGAATGAGTTTCTAATGTGTTACGGATATAACATGTGGATCTTTTTCTTAAGTTTACCTGTTTTTGGTTAACCAACTCTGTTTCTATGTTAAATTCTGTTTGACAATTCATATCTTTTTCATCAAAATATTTGCGAATTGTGAGCATTTTTTGTGGATCATCATGGTTAACCCCAAGGATGGATGTATAGCATCATGCCTTGTAAAAGTTCATCAATATGCATATTGGCCAGAAACATAGGGATGTGCAAATTCTTGGAGGTTATAAAGAATGCTTTTCTAGATTAAAGTGTTTATTTAGCATGTTTACTGGATTGGATATGTTTTTATTATTATTTTTTAACTTTTTATGTATCTTGATTGAATTCCCTTTCCTTTCTTTTACTTGAATTGTCTGGTTCCAGAATCTTTGAAAAATACTGATAACAATTTTGTTTGGACAATCATTCTCCTGACCGCTGGGTAATTGAACGTGGACAATTAAAGCTTAAAATTTTTGGAGAGATTAATTCTCAAATTGGGTGGAACTAGATTTTGAACTTCACTTCATTAAATCACCTTCCTCAATTTGTCATGTTTGGCCCTGTTTGGAATTTGGGATCTTATGAGGGGAAGAAAATAAAAAACTAGGTGACCTTTTTCTTGATTTTCCAGTTAAGGAATCAAAGAAGAAATAAATATATTATTGATAAACAAAGGGAGTTGCTATTTTGGGATTAGTTACCTTTAAATTTTGAAATTTGTTCTCACATTGACAATGATCAACTACATAGAGCTTTTTTTTTTTTTTTTAAATCAAAGAGCTAAATTTCTACATTGAAAATATTACGTCAAGATTGAGCTGGATGGTAGTTTGTGTGAGAGTCGCAAACACAAGGGCGTGTAAGTTTGAAGTGTGTACGGTACTGTTTCATTCTTTGATTAATAGCTTCCAACTGATGTTGCTTCAACTACTATCTGCACGCAGTTGGTTGGGAATGCTCCCTGGAACTTGGGCTTATGTTACTGCTGGTGCGTTTGGTCGAGCAATTATTGTAAGTTATGACTGAACCATCTCAGAAAAAATGTCTGCTTTCTCTTTTCTTTTACCTAGATTTCCTGATTATGATTTGCTTGAGCGTTGTGGTCGAGAAGTACTTGACCTGTTTTTGCATATCCGGTGATTTTCAATTAATTCGAACTCTCAGAAGCTAGAACAAGCAATAGTGGTTAATTCTTGAAACCGAGTCAGATCTCAACCAATAATGTAATAAGCTTGTTAAATGAGAATCTCGTTTACTTGTTTCAGCTATCAAACAGGGGATTGATTTAGTAAATCTCTATTCAACCAAAGCCTGTTGATGTGCTGGCTGATATCTTGGCCAAGCATGTACATGCATTATGACATGTTGGAATCAGAATTGACCCAAGACCCATGCTTAATAGTGTGCCTAGCCTTTCTGATCATGGTCACTGTAGGTTTGGATTTGCCAAAATTTTCCACTATTCAATTTAGTTCTTATAAACATACGTTAAACCGGTTATGTTTTTGGTTCACTTTTTATTAAATGATTTCTTCATAAGTTTGGTAGAGAATCCCCTTTTATGTTAAATTGATCTGATAGGTCTTAATTTTCCGATATCTAGATCATATACGGAGCCATACCAGCAATCTGCTTCCAAAAGCTTGATCAAGCTGTTAGATTTGCTCATTCTTCTTCTTCTTAATTCTGACCTTTCAGCAAGATGAATCTGATGCTGGTTTACTGGGAGGAAATGGACAGCTGCTAACACTCGGATTGGGGCTGCTGTTCACTGCATTAGCTGCCACTTACGTTACCCGGTTAGCAAAGGTAAGCGAATTGCAAGCCAGGTGCTTATGATGAAATTGTCCTTGGCTTGATCATTGGTGTTTGCTTCTCTTTGAACTTGATTGACTCTGGCAATTCTGTTTATTTTGCTTCTGGTGCAGGATGCTGTAAAAGATATCGAGTAGATGGGGGCCTAGGGACTGCCCCATTGTAAAGCATAACATAAGTGAGATCAACTCAACGACGCTGCAAATCCTTGTAAATCCAAATGTAGTTTAAGCAAGTTATATAGGAAATGTACCATCAATTTTGAACTGTAACATCCCTTCCTCTGCTAGATTGAAAGATGACATCTGATATGCATTCTTGTTCATCTTAGACTGTGTAAATTTGAGCATCAGAATGAGAAACTCTTTTTGGTCCAAAAAAAGGTGTACAATAATGCTTTGCAGAAGGACAATGCGCTCAAAAGGGTCATATTTTCTCTGAATAGAGATCAAGAAGTCGTTTACAGTCACCTTTTCTTGGCACGAACTACAGCCCCAAAAAGAATGAATCAATCAATAACTAAAATATGGGGGTGGGGAAGCTTTTACATCAGGGCTGCAAAACACATTCCCATTTGCAGATCAAATTTCTGAAAAAATTAGCAAACTACCGAGTGAATAGATATTTTTTGAGCATATACTATTTTCTCATAAAAGATACGTGCTTAAATTTTACTGCTAACGTGAAAGCTGTGTTGATAGATGATTTGTAAGCGATTTATGATTCAAAAACATATTGTGATTCACGGTGATGATCATAATGTGATAGTTATGTTGATAGATGATTTGTAAGCGATTTATGATTCAAAAACATATTGGGATTCACGGCGATGATCAAAATTGAACTCATTCAAATTTTTTTCTTAAAAAAAAAAAAGGAAAATTACTTCTCTGCCCAAATGAAAAAATCTTATTACACGTGACACAAAATTAATCATAGAAAAGAAGATCCACTTACGTGGACTGCCCCAAACTTGCATCACATTACATGCAACTGTCGGCATTCCAGGTGTCCTGGCTACATCACTGTCAAGTTGACCTAGAAATTATAAAGTTCTTCTGAATTCTGTGTCATCAGCAGCTCACGTGAATTGCTCAAGTGACGCCACGAATCAGCTCCCATGCAACTTTTCTTCCCCTCATTCTGCAAAAGTGCCAAGTGTCCTTGAACTATAGGAAACTTTGACAACCTTTCATGAAATCACAAACGAAAATTGACTTTATATATGCGTAAGTTACCTTCAGTCCTTCCTTACCTAATATCTTTGAAGCCTGGATTTCCTCGAACGAACAGCTGCGAGTCCTCTGCAGACATTTTACTGCTTTTTCCATGATGGAGTGGTGTCCTGAACATGCCATGAAAGCTTACTTGAAGACTTTACATCTGGTAAAATCCCGTTTCTTGCTTTCCTTTGCTCTTTCGTCGGATCCTTGAATGTTTATTTCGGTGCTGTTTCATTAGTTATAACCGTGGGTTTTGTACATCTGATCACTGAAAACCCCAGAGATTAATGCAAATCTTACGCAATAGTATGCATAAAATCTGCTCTAATCCCAAAATATGCATGTTTGTTTTCAGACTATGATGAAGTAACCAATGCTGTATTGTGGTAATAAATCTCAGCAAAAAATTGCGTTTTGAAGATTTATCTGACATTTTTCTTCCAACTTCTTGCAGCGTAAGAACTATTCTGATCGAACTAGCACTAGAGGAAGTCCAGAATTTGAGGAGCCTAAGATCATGGAGTTTTTATCAGCTTTGGCAGCTGGAAACTGTGCTAAACTAATAGTTCAAATAACCACAGAGGGAGTGACGCCAGTAACACTTGCATTGGCCGTAGCTGCAAGACAGATAGGAGGCAAATTTGTTTGCATAATCCCTCATGATCATGATGATGAAGAAGATATCAACAAATCTATCTGCACGCATCATCAGCTTAATGGCTGTGATCATCTCAAAGATGTAATACATATTGTTGCAGGAAATCCTTGTGAAATTATTAAACAGTTCAAGAAAATTGACTTCATGGTTGTTGACTCAAAGGTTGGAGATCACTTGAAATTATTGAAGACTGCTGATTTGAATTCAAAGGGATCTTTGATGGTAATGACCAATCTTTTCATCAATGGTCAAAAAAGGGCGTCACTGCGAGAGATACTCAAGGCCAAAGATGGAGTTTACTGCAAGTCTGTCACCATTCCAGTAGGAGAAGGAATTGAGTTGACAAAAATTGTACCTTCCAACAAGCATGGCAGAAAAAGACGCACAAGATTTCATGTCACTTATGAGAATTAATCGATCTTGAATGGTTACAATGTTTTTTGCCTCCCCAGAAGAGAAACTAATATAGCTATGCTTTTATGCAGTTGCATGTACAATTGTTACGTATGGTTAACAATGTACATAATTCGATAATGCAAAATATGAGCAGACCATCCAAATCAGGATGTGAACTTATTCATGTGGTTGAACTACAATCAAATCTCCCTTTTTTTTTTTTTTTTTTGAAAGTGATTTAGATCTCTGATGAAGAATCAACAATCAACATCTGAATGCATCAAGTTGTCTAACTTGTCGGCCTGCAACACTACATCTTACTCATTAGTTCTGCACAACTAAAAGAGGTTAATTCCACTAACACTTTTTTACTTGTCAAAGAATAAAATAGAAAATTATAGAAACAAATAGTTTTTCTTTTTTCTTTTCCTTATTTTTTGTTATCAAAATGTCAAATATAATGGGTAGTGGTCGTTTTTATCTTTACGAACACTCCTAGCTATATGGGTGAAGTTATCAAAATCATAACCTACAACATGCAAAATTTGAATGATAGTATATACACTGTCAACGTTTGATGAAGGATAATTATGTAAAATTTAAATTTAAAATTTAACTTTTACACATATCATGAATTTAACGTAGAAATTTATACACTGTCAGTGTATATAATATTTACTCTAACAATATATGCTATATAAACATAATCAGTTACTGACAAATTTAATTTAGAACCATAGGACATAGGTTACTAACATTTCGATTCCAAAATATCATTCCATTGCCAATTACTCCAAAACCCTTGCATTTCCTCCCCATGTAACTGGTAACTTATGCAATTAATTTTATGTTAAATCTTAAATACTTTTGTTAGAGCACTCCAGCAATTCTTAAAATCATTAATCTAGTAACTATAAGGTCATTTCTGCACATTTTAAGCTCCCTCCATTCCTATTTCCTCCTGTTAGGCTCGACATCTCCCTTAAAAGCACTAAAAGAAAAGCAGGATATAAATAGCTCACATGAGCAGGGTTATAAATCAGACCATCAGATCTGCCCTAACTTAGCATTCTAGTGGTGACAGCCGGACCAGCGGACCTCAAATCTTGGAAAGCCACCAAGTGTGTCAGAGGACAGAGATTATGGTACGGTTTAATGTATTAATGGTCCATATTCGGTGTTGGATTTGGATCTAAGGAGGGATTTAATAATGTACACTGCACAGTGGATTTGAAATCAATAAACTAACTCCAATTTGTTATTAATCCGAAACCCTTTTTTGGTAGGAAAATGAATATAAATTTGATCAAAAAATTTTAAGTCCAAAATCTTTTTATTTGGTAAGCTTTACATCCAAATTCTGCTTAATTGTAGTCTTGTGCTTAAGCCCTCCAATGAATAGGAAAAAGGGGAGAAATCTGGGAAAAGAATAGTTGAAAATATTGCTAAAGAATAATTCATAGTTGGAGAGTAACGTTCACAAAATGGACGGGAATAGAAAATACAGTTGAACAGAAAGTCTTACCTTTATACTAGGTATTAGTCCCCTTATGGTCACTTTATTGGAGTCTTAAACCTTCGCTTGGCATAGATGCCATAACATTGTGCCTGCCAAGAGCCCGATATAGCTTATGATTCCTCACGCCTTCTTGGGTTTTCCGTTGAAGGCGTTCACTTATATGACTGATCCATCACGCCTTTGTCCTGGTGCTGTGAACAAGGCGAGAAATAATAACATGTAACAACTGCCTCCTTGTATAGGAGATATGACTGTGAATGCATGAAAGAGCTTTCATTTTCTTGATGCATTGCCTCGGCACTAAAGGTTAGTGAACTGGTGTAGCCGTACAACAATGAGAACACGCCTCTTCCTTGGGGTGGATATATGAAGGCGCAGTTAATTGTACAATCAATAGTTGACGCCTTAGTCGAGTTTGGGACTGAGTAAATTACTCGGATAGTCACTAAACTTTTCGAATGGTAGAGTTTTAGTTATTTAACTTTTAAGAGTATGCATTTACTCCCTAAATTATTAAAAGGATAAATTTTGGGTCATTTCATTAGTTTCTACCGTTAAATCCAAATCAGGTAGATTTAACGGGGGAAGAGACGAAATGGTCAAAATTTACAAATTTAATAGTTTCATGGGTAAATACATACTTTTAAAAGTATACTGTTCAAAAAGTTTACTGACTGCTCGGGTAATTTGCTCGCTAGGGATTGAAGAGAGAAGCAATGCGCCTTCTAAATAAGGTGCAACCAGAGCCCGAATGCGTGGGATGAACCTTTTCTTTCTCCGGTATTTTTTCCGGGGACAGAATGAACTTGTAAGTTAAAGAATACGTGTAACTCACAATTTGGTGATCGGAAACGTCTTCTCCTTAAGTTACACCACACTGATGAATTATATGATTGCATCCAAAATAGGAAATTGAGAAGTTGTCTTGCATACGTGCTAGCCGGCTAGAGATCATGAAAATCTCTATGGCGGTGAGATAAATAGGATAAGCATTTACTCAAGGAGAAAACAGTTCAAATCAGTGATAACTTGTGAATTCATCAACAACTGCATTGAGGAGAAAGAAAGGAAAGCGTTATTCAAAAGAATCACTTATAAAAGAAAAGAAGAATCAGTGAATCACGTACGCTTGTTGGGACTGTGATAGTAGTGAAGTTGTTGCTTTGCCACGTTTTGGACTTAGTTGATGGTCCATTAATTCCTTAGATGCACCAAAATAAAGAAAAAGAAACTAACACTTACCATTGATGTATTACCGTAGATTCAGGTGGCACTATTTAGTGACATGAGTCCAACACTAGGAAAGCTTGTGAAAGATGAAAAGAGTGTCTTATTACTTATTATAAACATAAGGCATCATACATCGGCTAAAGTACTTCTCGTGCTTCTTTTCTTCAAATCAAAACGAAATTCTTTGAAAATGGTTTTAGGGAGAATTTCTTCATATTGCTCTAGGAAAATTCTGTGTTGAATTTCTTAATCCAGGCTTTATATTTTGTTGTTTATAGTTTTGCTAATTGGCACTGATTACCAAAAATATTTGGGGGGGGAAGCTAGAACAGTTTTTTTGACAAGATAGGTTACCATAACGTCTTGCAGGTAATGCACAATCAATAGTACTCTTCCTTAAACTCACGTGTATAAATGCTGTCCAAGATACCCCAAAAGTGCACTACAACCCAAGCTAGCGAACTTCATATTCCAGTCTTTTTCGAAGGAAAAAAAAAACTCCTATTAGCGTTTTGAAGTAGTGAATATGTCCTCCGAACCAAAATCTTCCAAGGGAGGAGGTTGGAAAGCTGCTATTTTCATGATCTGTTAGTAACCCTCCAAAAACGTCTAATCATCTCCTTATCCAAATTTCCTCCGCCCTGATTTCTTTGCTTCTTCTCCTTCTTGGTGTATTGCTCCTAAAAAGTTGGTTTCTTGTTCAAATTATTGCAGGTCTGGAGGTGGCTGAGAGATTCTCCTACTATGGGGTCGCTGGAAATCTTATCAACTACCTCACAGATGTTCTACACCAGCCCACAGCAGTGGCTGCCAAGAATGTCAACGTCTGGATTGGTGTGTCTTCAATCTTCCCATTGTTAGGTGCCCTCGTTGCTGATTCATACATGGGTCGATGCAAGACTATTTACGTCTCATCCATCGTGTATCTTATAGTAAGTTCATCAATCATCACTCAACTGATCAATTACGTAAATTCCCATGACTAACTATTCCAGTCTCCCTCGATATTGCATATCTCAGCAGCCATTGGGCTGGTTGACAGGATTGGTCTAATGTTTGTTTTCTAGTGCTACAGTGACTCTTGACAGGGATAATTCTATCTTATGCTAACCTCGTAAAAGCCACCTAGCATAAACAATTAACGAATGTTGATTCATAGATTTTTAAAGAGTTGTACCATTATATTATGATTTGTATGATCTTCTAGAAAGGTAAAAATATTTAAAACATAGTGGTCTACAAGATCAAGCTTTATCAATAATTTCCTAGAAAGGAAAATATAATCCTTAAGTCAAGGGTATTTGACAAATGAGGTTACATGAGCACGCCTATGGCAGTGATAGAATTGCTAGGACTGCTTAGCATGGAATTTTCCCTTTAGATTAGACGTATGCATTTATAACATTTATAGTTCTTGCAATTTAATCCAAAGATTCTGTTCAGGCTCTTTATCAACTGTGAACTCATATCCAAATTATGCTAAATCAAACTTGAATGTTTGGTGGCAGCACTTTTTATTATCTATACATTACACCACCCCAAAAAAAAAAAAAAAAGAGAAAAACAAAGAAAGAGGAGAGGGAGAGGGAGAGAGAAGTTGAGGAGACAGATGGATTCTGATTCTATCTAATCAAAATACACAGGGTTTAGTGGCATTAACCATCACAGTTTCAACAGTTCCATCAAGTGCTCGCGAAGCAATCTTCTTGACATCACTTTACATAATGAGTGTGGGGGAAGGCGGGCACAAGCCATGTGTACAAACATTTGCAGCAGACCAATTCGATGATGAAGTTGCTGAAGAGAAGGAAGCCAAAAGCTCGTTTTTCAATTGGTGGTATCTGGGGATTGTGTCTGGTGCCACTGCTGCAATTCTCGTTGTGATCTACGTGCAAGAATATGTAGGGTGGGGCATTGGGTATGGAATGCTAGCAGGGGCTCTGGCCATAGCACTTGGGATGTTTTCTATTGGAAGTTGGACGGGTAATTATCGCCTGCAAGCTCCAATTGGGAGCCCATTTACGAGGGTGGCTCAAGTGTTTGTAGCAGCTGCTAGGAAACGACGTTTGTGTGATCAGAGGGTTGATGATGGTGGCCATAGTGGTGGATTTTTTGGCCATGAAAAAAAGGTTAGATGTCGGAATAATGGAACAGACGAGGTAGATGGATTCAGAGTTCGTGCATTGGCTCGCACACCTCAATATCGGTAGGTTTTGTTCTATTCCATGCACCTCTTATTTGGTTCCAATAGTGGCGATCACATCACATC